AAAAGTTTTCGCTACACGAACATCTCACACGCCACTCAGCTTCCTGCTGCGGCTCACTCTAGACGATCCCTGATATGTTAGATAATGATGTAAGTTGTCGCAAAAGCACTACATGAACCTTTTCCTTCGGTACACATTCAAGATGATTAAACAACAATTTGCTTGATCTTATTGTATTGCGCATATATGAGTAACACAAACTGATATTTATTTAATCGAAGTTTTGAAGAATGAAATGTAAAGTTAACAAGTAGAGATAGATTCTAGCTCTTTCTACGGAGGAGAGATAGCATACAAAGCATGTTATATGAATAGATACATAAAACTGATAATGTGTTATAAGTAACTACTCCTCAACTCTAAAGTCTAAACAGCTAATCTAACTAAACCAACTTAATACTAATTACAGTTTGTATGAGCTGCATAATTTGAACACAAAATAAAACGGAAATTTGAACACAATAAATAAATAAATAAATAAATGAAAAACAGGACATTTACCAATTACCAGTTTCAAGGTCCAAACATGTAATAGGGATTTGTTGGACGATACGGATGTGCTTCACAACGGCACACAGGGCAGGTTTCGCTCCACGTCAACCATTTGACAAGACAATGATTATGAAAAGCATGACCGCAGTTTGGGATCAACGATATCCGATCCCCGATCGTCGGACTATTCAGACAAATATGGCACTCCTCCATCACACGCAATCCCTCCTCAACATCAGTCACACGAATCTTTCTTAGTGACCACAGGAAACTCTTGAGCGGGCGGCAGACATCTTGCCGCTGCGTCACAGCCACCGGAGGACGTGGCCACAGCTCCAACGGGTACATAAACTCCGGCCTAATTGCCCTACTCACCGCAGCGCTGAGCAGTTCCCCATCCTGCTGCACCGTCAACACGTCGACGGCCACAACCACCGGAATCTCACGGCGGCGGCCGGGAACGGCAGCTCTTTCGTCTGCAAAATTGGCGGCGCCAACAAGCAAATTTTCAATTTCATCGTCAGGCATCCAGTATTCTTCCAGTCTGTCACCCAAATAGGTTTTCAATATCCACCATTTCATAAAGTGAACATGGCAGATTACGAGCCTCTCGGAAGCGATAATCTCTTCTTCGTCTTCAACATCAATCCTTTTCAATATAAAATTTGTTCTGAGCTCAAACAAGAACAAGGTTTTTATGTGATCGTAATTGAATATTGAAAGTATATCATCTGAAACTATATCGCCATCCGTAAAAAAACGATGACGATATTCATATCCCCTTCGACTGCTATCCATCTCTCAATTAGCTTGATCGGAGATTACGATTAGTTGGTTATATCGATTGAATGGAGACGAACATAAACCCTAGCCCCTAAATATAATATACTCCGATTACTTATATAAAGTTGTTTCCTATTTTGTATACAACTAGTATTCCTATATTTACTATTTACCTCCAAGTAAATAAAATTAAATCAATATAATATTTCCTTTTAGGAAATAAATCAATATCAAATAATTTTATTTTAGGGCAGTTGAATCTAAGTCCATTGGGCTAGACTTATTTGCAATCCAATTCAAACCGAAATCAGTCAAAAAAAAAAAAAAAAAAAAAAAAAAAAAGACCCAATCCACAAGCTTTTGACGGCCCCCTTTTCTTTTTTTTTTTTTTTTTTTTTTTTAAATTTTCCCCCAAAAAAAAAAAATTTATTGTTATATTTTTGTAGATTTTGTAAGTAGAATGATAACATAAATGAAACTGTTGATTTGGAGACATTCGAATTATGTGATTCGAGTTGTTTTTTATGTTTCGCTTGTGTTCAATAGTTGAGATCAACTATCCGAATGGGCGATAATGATTGGCCTTGGTCATTGTCGATACGCCAGAATAGTTACCCCCAATTCAGAATTAAATCCGTGGGCATGGACAAAATATAGATTTCGAAAACCCTCGGAAGACGGGGACAAAAAAACGTAATTGTCCTTTTTGATCGAAGGGTAAAATATGTTATGTATGGCTCATCGGTCGGCATTATATCGTCAAAGACACACTCCGAAGGAAATACTCTGACCGGTCGTTTGACTGAAGGAGAGAATGAAATAACAAGAGTGTTGACAAGGAGTGTCACGTAAAGTTGAAGGAATTTTTGGATCGTTTGAGAAAGAAAAATCCGGAGATGACTACGTACTTAAACCTATATACAATATGCATGCAAAAATGAGACGAGATGAAATGCAGGGGAGGACTGTGAACAGCTGTGGCACAATCTCAATGAAAAGTGGATATAAAAAATGGCATCGAACAAACCCAATGGGAGATACAGTCGCTGATGTAATGGCATCGAAAAAGGATGTTATTATTTTATTTTATTTTATTTTAGAAAAAGGGATGTGAAATACAGTTTCATTGAGGTCACAAACTAAAGTATCACCAATGGGAATATGCTGTTAATTTATCTTCCAATAACAAGAATTACATACTATTGAAATAATTAGTGACACCTAGGCAAATAATACAGTTTTAAGCATTTGTGAGGAATGAATAAATTATCTCTCTTCAATACTAATTTTACTCCAAAAAAATTCCATCATACATTATTATTAATGTAAACTAGATGGATCAAAACAAAGAGACAATTATCAATCTACAGCTATTGGTGTATATATTTTATTTCAAAATGATATTAGAAAAAAAGGAGGTCTGGATCTAGCAATAAAAACCTGTACAAAGTCGTTTCTTGATCTGATCTTCAATTCTCTCATTTGCGAGCAGAATGGTAGAGCTCCAAGTAGTCAAGAGCGGGTCGATTCCAAGACCAATCTTGCTCCATTACACGCTTGCATAACGAATCAAACCACTCTCTTCCATCATACCATGCAGATATTGCTCTAACAATAATAATATACATATTATACAAGTTAATTCGCCATATAATATATATATATAGCGCAAATTATTGTCCAGAAAACAAATTGCCAAGAGACGAAGAAAATTTAATTAGAAAAAAAAGAGATGAAGTAAGAAACGGGATATAGTTCGAGAAAAAGTAGACATGTAAAACATCAAAAGGGCATCAAATAAAGAATATCCGAAAATTTTATATGCGAGTGAAAGGAACCTTACCTGTTGAGAGCATAATCAACACCAGCACCATCTGCTCCGTCGAAATTAAATCCATTTGGTTCAAGACCACATGCTTGTGCTCTTTCTAAATCGTGGTCAACATCAAAAACAGTATCATGGAGTCCTGCACGAGGAAAAATGGAGAATGACATATACTTGTAATCGTAATGGAATTACACGAGTTAATCCTACTAGATTTAATGGATGTGCTTTTATTATTTCAATCAGTTCTTAGAGCATGAAGTGATGCATCAATATACACATTTTTTCGTTGTCTTTTTCTTTTCAGCAAACTCTGTTACACCTAATAGACAAGTAAGTATGAGTAGTCGTAGCTTCGCACATTAATAAGAGGCCCTACAGTATTCGAAACAATGAAAATGATTTTGCAGTTCTTGAAAGTTATAGTTTTATGCAGCTGAAAAGAAGTAACCACAAAAGTTACTCACCACCAGTTTTTCGAACAACGGGAATTGATCCATATCTCATCGCAGTGAGTTGAGTTAGTCCACATGGTTCAAATATCGAAGGGACCAGAATGAAATCTGCACCAGCATATATCTGCATACAAAAATTTAAAAATCAATTACTTAAAAAGGAGCACAACAAAAACCTACCAACATACAAGAAAATCGAGAGATTCCATAAGAGAGAATTTACCAAGTGCGAGAGAGGCTCATCATACGTCAAACACAGGTTTGCACGATGACCATGTGAAGAATGCAACTGATTTGCCAAACTCACAAAATCATTCTGGATCCGAGGATCAGGAGCTGAACCCAACAGAACCACCTATCATAATCATTGTACATAGGAAGTTACTAAAGTTTGTTCACGGAGAAATTATCAAGTGCAAATGAACCGAAAAAAGGTCTAAACATCACAAACTTGTCCATTGCGTTCGAGGGTTCGCCAGATGGCGTGTTTGATGAGGTGGATTCCTTTCTGGTGAGTCAATCGAGTAATGATTCCTACCAAGGGCAGATCAGACTTTTCCAGCCCCAGTTTTTCCTGCAAAGCTTCTTTGGCAGCTCTTTTGCCTTCAACGACGTTTTCTGAAGTATAAGATACCTGCAAAGGCATGCATCATATTTATATTAGCAAAAGTCCATTGGAAGAAATACTTTGATTTTGTTTGTAATACTTGCTCCGTTTCTTTTTAAGTGTCTCTTTAGCCAAAAAAATATTTATCATATTAAGTGTCACTTTAGAGTCCCAATGTGGGACAATTTTTTTTTGTCCAACTTTACCCCAACATAAATGACAGATTAATTATTTAATAAAGAGAAGTTGAAAAATACAGTGGGTAGTTTTGTCAAATAAGAACTTTTCTCCTATATCCAAGGCTATTTAATAACTTCCTTAATTGGTGTGCATTAACCTTAAAACGACACTGAAAAAGAAACGGGCGGAGTAGTATTTACACTTTACTTAATTATGCTAATATCAGAAATGTAATTTACTTACAGGAAGGAACTTATCATTGTATGGATCCCATATGTCTGGATCAATTCCATTCAGAATACCGTGAAACTTGAAAAGGTAAGGGGCGACTGCTGAATTTCCAGAAACTTCCTGAGCATAAGTAGGGGATACCTGCAGGAATAGTATACAGTTAAGTGATGAGATTCTAAGTCACCAAACATAACTAATTATGCCTCGTGCCGTTGGAGGATTCCTGCAGGAACTTACGGTTGTAGCCTTGTCTGAGAATTCCATGGCTTTCCTAATCAAATTTGCTCCAAATTCAAGGTTGTGTATGGTGAAAACAACTCGGGCTTTACTGAGGCCATAATGCATGTAATGTTCCTTAAATAACCACGCAACTGGAGCACTAGACCAATCGTGACAGTGAATTATATCCTGGAAATGAAAAAAAAAATCGTTAATAGAAACCTTCTGTTAGAATGTTACGAAGAAACAGTATGAACTGCAACCAAAACAGACGTCCACGAGATCAAAGTCAGTGAGAAAATAAACACTTGAATTTTCCTTTTGTCTGTGTTCTTATTCTTGAAAAGGGGAGAAAAGATGACCAGTCTAATAAATTATCTGAGTACTTCAAGAAAACAATGTAATCACCCAGAGCTAGAAAAAAGGCATTTATTATTGAAGAATGGCAAGGCTACAAAAAATCAAAAGGGATATTTGTTTGCCACATTGGTCTCTATTGCACATTTTATAGCTTGATGAGAAGTAATTCAACATGCATATGGCCAAACATTAAGTTCAAGGCGATGTCAGATAAGCACAAACACACGAATGCATAAATGAAGAATAATACGGGAGCAACCTTTAATTCCTTTTAAATTAAAACAATCAATTTCATGATAGCAATCCAGTATATCTCGTCGTAGCAATCAAGAATTCAGATATCTTAGCTGCAATAATGACTAATGACTGACAAAAGAATAGACACATCCTACTCGATCTTTTATGTGAGTTAGAGCTTACAGGATGAAATCCACTTTGCAGAAGAAACTCAAGAGCTGCATGGCAAAAGAAACCAAATCTTTCCCCATCATTAGCACGTCCATAAATACAACCAACCCAAAATAATCTGGAAGAGAAACAAATATAACATTAACTCATCAGAACTAGAGCGACTGATGAGAACTTCAAAATAATGAAGGGGGCGAGGTTCTCGGCAGAACTTTCGTGTGTTTCCACTACTACATTAGCTAAAGGAAACATAAAATACTCGGATTGAGACTCGCTACATTTCAGAGCATCTATCTTTAGTGTAAGAGAAAGAGACATTTCCTTTAAGATGCATAAAAAGATGCAAAGCAGTTCCGAACGAAAATCCATCGACTGTATTTATGCCCGATGGGTAGAAAATGACAAAACATTGACTTAATTAAGAAGGGGGTGAAAGACTGTAAATACTAGTAAAGAAATCCATCAACTGTTTTTATGCCCGATGGGTTAGTGTGCCACCGGTGTTTATAAATCTGAACATGAGAAGCAGCTTTAAGCAAAAAGAATCCAAACTCTACGCATAGATAAAACGGAAGCACTAGAAATTACCCATTTTGAGGCTCCAAAAAGTAGACAGAGACGCCTTCCACCTTCCCAGTCCAAACTTTAATCTCAGTCCCACCCCAGGAATAGCTCTTGTGGAACTGCAAATCCTTCACCTGTTGCATGACATATTGAATGTACATTTTTATTCAAGTTAAATTTAACGTAAGAGAAATAAATAGCCACGATTATCCAATAATATTCCAATAAATAGCCAACGATCCCCAGTTCCCAAAGCAATAATCTGATTCTTCAACTATTAAAACTCTAAGTGAAAAATACGAACATCGGGACACTTAAAGAAATCCTCATCTATATACTTGCAGGGATTGGTTTTGAGAAGTACTCATTTTCCCTTTTTCTTTTTTCTTTTTTTGTAAAAATTCAAAGCAGAACTCAAACAATATACTATGTGGCTCAAACTCAGGTGCAGACAAAACCTAAGATATGTGAGGAGACTTTGACTAAGAAAACATATGAAAACTTACATTGCTGTGTTTCAAACAGTCATATTTTGGAAGGATAATGTCCACATTATGGTTCATGTCCTGAACAGCTCGAGAAAGACTAGTGACAACATCACCAAGACCACCCACCTGCAAGATTTAATGACTACATCTTTAGTAACTGGAAATCATTTTTACACTATAGCAGTCAAATTATTTGTACAAGTTCAATCAGCAAATTAACGAATTAGTGAATAGAAGAACACCAATACAATAATACCATACACCATGCAGTTATGTTTCATTCCTTGCTGAGAAAAGAGAGAGAAAACAAGTCTTTCGGAACTTACAGAAAAGGACCATTCACAAAATAAACTGCATTTGGTGGCCCACGAATAAAAATTGCTAATTATTGAACATCAGCTTACTGTTGATCTCCAGCAGGATTAAATTATTGAGTGTCAGGAAAATCAATAAATCCGAGTTGTTGAAAGATAAATCTTGTAAAATTATAACCCATCTAGTTGTCTAAGGGTGCCTAATAAAAGCAAAGATTTAATTTCACATGGTCAAGGCAGCATACGGGGGCTTGTAGAAAAAGAATTTATTTGAAATTATGATTTTGAGCAGAAAGCCTTCACATAGTTGAAAGACACTTTTGGAACCAATGACGGGAGAAAAATGCATTTATTAGAACTTTTTTTATGAAATTTTGAATATTTACCTTTGCAATAGGTGCCATTTCAACTGCTATATGTACAATGTGCATTGGAGGCTCCTTCACGACTCCTCCAAATACTGGTACGTGGTAGTCCATACCATTCTTGTTGTCGAAAATTCCGCCATCTTCTCTCTCAGAGAACACAAAGTCCATCATATATGCATCCAAGGGAACCTTCACTGCCAACAACGGAAATAGGGGAAATGAGGCAAAAGAGATGTCACCCATATAAAGAATTATAGGACTTCAGGAAACAGAATGAGTACAACAAACCCACAAAATCCCTACAGAAATCTCAAAAGATTTTATATGACCTCCAATGTATACGAGACCTCGTGAACAACAAACAACTGAAACACCTTTCGTCTGAATTAAAAACCACAGGATAAATGTATAATATTTCCAGAAAAACTAAGACTGATGTTAAAATTATTACACACGATAATTTGTTGTTATTAATATTTGTTTTTGAATTCCATATTTACAACTGAACCTTTTCACCACAAGAAGAACTGTCTAAAAGACATGAATGGTAAAATGATTTGACTATATAATTACACAGCTGAATCTCACCAGTTGCTTTAAGATGAGAACCATTTTCGATAGGGATCATTTTTTGAGGTGGCAATAGACCCATGCGATGTGTCCACCGATTGAACGAACATCTCAACCAGATTTCAGATTTTCCTTTAAGAACAGTGTTGGCTGGATTATAAAATACAGTGACTGTGCTTCCAGCATGGACATCAATGGGGTCAGTATAGACAATATGCTTTTGAGACAATAAAAATGTCTTCAAAGTCCTTTCCTTTGTTTCCTCTTTCAGACGCACAGTTTTTTCAGCCTGTACATGGAAAATCAAAAGACAAAACATAAGACATATATGAGAGAATGAAACTTCTGCGAATCCCTTTCTAGATTTGGCATTAAAAGAAGAATATTCATTAATTATGATGTATCCATAAAACTGACCTTGGCCCGTAGTGCTTCTTCTCTGAATCTCCTTTCTGCCTGAAGGTTTTTATATATTTGTTGTTCTTCCTCAACCCAATATAGTTCCCCAGGGATGGATTTGGGAACAATTGCATGAAAGTCTTGGAGAAGATTGTTGTCATAAACAACTGCTTGCTCTGGTGGTCCATCAGCAAAAACCCAGTCCAAAACAACGGCTTGATCTGGTACAACAACTGCAGGCACCAAAAATGTTGTCTGGATAAATATTATAGACTAAATAATACGGGATAGTGATACAATCAGTGTTCAATTTCATTCTGATTTAAAAAAAAATGGCATTGTAAATACAATATATCCACCAAAGGAATTCGAACCCCCGACCTCTCCCCACAGTCCACAGTGGGACAATCTCCAATACCACTTAGACATCATATACAGCTTGATAGACAATCAAAGTTCAACCAAAAGCAAAAACAGATCATCAGAACTTACCTTGGATGGAGTCCGAATATCAAACCAATGGCTCCAACTAAAAAAGAAATATCCGTAGTGGCATAGTAGTAATGCATGAAAATGAAACTTACATCAGTTCACAAGAGAGAGAACCTTGATTAGTGATTACTTATAGCATGAAAAGATAGTTTTCTATTAACCCATACAATTCCTCGCAGGCTTGTGCTCATACAATACCAAAAATTTTAATGTGTTGCCCTTAACAACTAATGACCAAATAACCCCTCTAGCAAATAGCTCCTTGGTCTCTAAGCAGCATTAATTATGCACAAGGATTTTTTCAGATATCAACATATTTCCTCAAATCATGTACATTAAAAAAAACTGCTTCGTACTAAAAGTGAGAGATACAATTCGGAAAAACACTCACCGTCAGCACAGCACCAGTCTCCGTCTTTGCTCTCAGATTTGATGAGCTTCGAAACAAGGAAAGTC